AGCACCACTGTTCACAACGAATATCGTTTCCCTCCCGAACAGTACATTGCTCTCAAGTAAATAGAAGCGTACGGGCTAACTAGTGGCGAAGCGAGAACCGAGCGCGTAGTTCATACATTTCTGTACGTACTTGGGATCACTCAAGTAACGTGTCAAAAACGCTGTCAATCCGAAATGTCGCACAGCACCCAACTGAGAGACTGGAAAGTCAAGCGAACGAACTTTTACCGGCACACAAACACACATTGCAGGCTTCTCGAGTGCTAGTTGCCGTCGATACATCGACGCCCATTCCCGCTTGATAACCACACCGACGCACAGGCTTCGCTGCGTTTCACCGTACACCATTGCACTGCCACAGCTTACCGCACTGCTTACACGCACCGAAAGAGCTGCTGTAATCACACCACATCTGGTAAAACGCTGAAGTAACTCGTGCGAGAAGCGTTTGCTGAAAGTCGCACCGACCGATATGCTGTTTACGACGCCATGTTGTTTTCGACAACTGCGCAGCACATAAGAGAGCTCTTAGAAAGTACTTGCACTGTTATCACGGCGTGAAAAAATTTTCTCTTGTGTGCAAGGGGGGTGATATGACGAACAGGACAGGCGTGCCAGATGAAAGAACTGTGTTTTGGCAACGTCATGGAGTGAGCTGATGTAGAGGGTATTGCTTCACAACCAATCAAAAGCTGTGCCTGTCGGCCAAGCCGTCGCCTGCTCGCGTTTGTCGTCTGCTTCGATCAGAGCATGCGACAGGGAATTCGCCTTCGCAACGCTATTATTCTTAGGTGAAGTGGTCGCTAAGTCGCACAAAATACATATCAGTGGCTCGCTCTACCTTTGAATGATGTTCGTGCGCCAAGTTAAATGGCTGGTAATTGACGCAGGGATGAATTCAGCCAAGGTTTGCTCCAGAGTCGTGAGGGTTTGCATATTTTCGGTGTCAAACAAAGTTACTAGGGTCATTTCATTTTGATTGCTTGCCATATTATCACGGTCCATATTGGTGTATGAACAGGGAAGGTGAAGATGCATGATTTGTTTGCAGTTCTATGCGTAACCACGCGCACCCCTAATACGCTTTGGTTTTCAAAGTACGCTTTGTTCCAGATCGTCGCAAAGTGTATCGACAGCTGTATTTCAGAGATCGCAACCATTGTACAGTTAGAGCCAATGAAAGTACACTAGAGCACAAACTTTATGAACCACTCACTGAAAACTTCCTCTCATTTTTATTTCCAATAGCGTGCAAAGAATGTGCTCCCATTAACCTCTTTGGTGGTAATTTCCACCAATGAGGCAAGGATCTCGAGTCGCACTTTTAATTGGATGAGATGGGGCGCAACACGACAACATAACAAATAAGGTTGATCCTATGCCATGCCGCGTTCGAATGCACCGACCATTCACGTATCACATTGGTTTTCATCCAACCACAAATCTTTACATGCGTAGTTGTATGCCATTGACGCCCAATAGAATTCTTCAATTACTGCGACTTCGAACTTATTGGACGATGGTGGTTGTCAACACCATCAACTGCGTACAAGGGAAACAACACGCGAAGCTCAAAGCGCCGAAAGAAATAAAAACGCACCAGCAGTCATCAGGCAGCACTTAATGGGCGTGAATTAACTCAAAACCAGCCAGGGCACCAAAGTATACCGCCGCGGCAGCAGGTTCTAAGTAGCCACATTGTTCCTAAAGTGGTCCGGACCACTCTTAGGATTTCCTCTCAGCCATGCTGTTTTTACTCACAATTTCGCTTCGTGAATCCACTTACGAGCACTTTTCGGTGACGTAAGGAAATATAGCAACTGCATCACCATCGCTGACAAGTTCCCGGGCAGTCACAGCGCGCTTTATTTGCAGCGGCCGATGTGACAACGATGGCCTCTTACGACGTTTTTTCGTTTCATGAATCGACTTACGCTACAAAATCTCTCTTGCGTAAAAATGTTTTCGTAAGTGAGTTTTGTGAATCCGGCCCCAGATGAGCTGAACCATAAGTTGTTTCGCGTTTAAAAGACAAATAGTCCTGCCATTAGCCAAAGCCTTTAGTTCGAGCAAGCTTTCGAATTTTGATATGATCCTTGACTTTTTCCGCAAGCATGAGGCCAATCAATCAAAAGAAGATGGAGGGTGTGAGGTGTTACACTGTTACGCTTATCTACACGTGCACCTACTTATTTAACGGTGTTTGTGCTAGCCTGTTCTCTTTTCTTTGAATCAAAGACCATGACCGTTGACATAGAACTGCCGATAACACACACAGAGTGGCAATTCCTGTCCTCGTCTCTCTGCTAGTCGTGCGAAGCAACCACTGGCCAAGCACTGCATGTTTAAGGCACCGTGCAGCTTAAACAATGGTTTCACGAAAACGAAGTTTTGAATGTAGAGAGCAGAGGATTTTATTTCAAACAATAAACAAAAAGAAGGAGTCACACAGGCCAACGGTCTTCTTTCGATACACTGGTCAAGCCTAAATGCTGGCCTAACCCCAACCGGCACGCGTATGCATAACACTCGTTGCGCGTTTTCATTGGGAAACCAACACAGAGCAGTGACAAGACAACATATCTGAAAATCTCTTCCTGCGGTCGCCGACGTGTCATGATCCACAGATAAAGCAGTGAGATGCCCACTAATGTCATTCAAATTAGTTTTAACACCCATTGATTGATTGATATGTGGGGTTTAACGTCCCACAGCCACCATATGATTATGAGAGACGCCGTACTGGAGGGCTCCGGGAATTTTGACCATTTTGGGTTCTTTAACGTGTACCCAAATCTGAGTACACAGGCCTACAACATTTCCGCCTACATACGGAAATGCAGCCGCCTTAGCCAGGATTCGAACCCGCAACCTGCGGGTCAGCAGCCGAGTACCTTAGTCACTAGACCACCACGGCGGGGCAGTTTTAACACCCATGAGCAAGAATGAAGGGTGCTTTGAACGTTCTGGCGCCATCGGTCAACAATTAGTGCTGTTTTCATGGCAGGTATGATATTGATGAAGCTTCAGAAGACGAATATTTTGTGCTTCTGTCATGTGAATATGTCGCTTGACACGCACCCATGATGCTCTGATGGGGCGTGCAATGGCTTTGCTAATGCGAATGGCATTGCGAATGTTTTACCCAGATAAACAAATTAGCTGCTATTGAAGGGCAAACAGGGGTGATTTTGTTAGATATGAAGCAGCTCTTTGACTAGCCTGTTTATGCTGTCCCGTGAGTACACACCAACATTCTCGCCGCCGGTACTCGAGCGGTCCTAAGTAGGTCGAGTCGCAGATTCGTGTTGACATCACCCTCTCCCTCACCCGCAGCAGCTGCTGTCCCTTCCACCCACTCGCGACACGCTTCTCACTTGCTTGACCCTCTTCGCCTTAAGCAATGCTAAACAACACGTCGAGTGGAAACACTAAACAGATTTAGTTGTGCACGTCCGAAGCAGACATACGGATGCAGCCCAGCAGCCATTCGCAGTGGGAGGCTGCGTCCGTACGGCTGCTGCAGATGCCCAGATAAATGTCTACTGTTTTGGCTCGTTTATCTGTAATAAAACGTACACAAAGCCCCACCCACCTCCCAGGTGTTTGCGTTTCGAACAAACGTTTACTCGAGTAAATGCTACTCCGAGTTTTACTTCAAATCAATTGTGTGGCCACCACGTCGACGCCCGTATCAACTGGGTCAACGCTTGGGCACCGCTCTTGCTTCGGATCCCACTGATCAGGGTTCCCGTCCAGAATGTGGTTCATTTTTTTGCTCTGGACGAATGGACAAAATACTTTACTATAAAAAATAAAAAAAACCCTGCAGGGTTATCGGCCCGAGCTCACGCCACCCTCAAGTTTTGTGTGGTGGGGCGTAGCCTTTCCACCACTGTCCGGGCCCACTGAATTTCCCGCAGTTGGTCGTGCAGATCTGAGCTAGTCTTGACGCTCTCGAAACTAGATGTACTTCACCGTACCTTATCGTTCCGTGAAACTCAGTTCTAAAAACGTCAGATCTGCCTGGAAAGCGCAGCCTAATCACACCGAAAGCTAGAACAGCAGCCTTTCAGAGATCATTCCAAATACTTTTTCGGTAACTGCTCCAAGCACACTGCTGAGTACCCAGTAAACCATAAATATTCTTACTTTTTCTGCAGTTGGCCAGCATTCACTATGGTATCCTTTGTCAATATTTGGAGAACCCTGGTATTCACTACACACTTGTTATGAATTTTATGCTATTTGTTTATGTAGTGGGTGACGATGATGAGAATATGCCTGAAGTGGGTATGTGTCACAAAGATTACGAACAAGTTTTTAATGCGTTGGAGCATTGGATGAGCACTCTTTAGGCAATTTAGATATTGTGACACCTGGTTGTTGGATGTTCTAAAACGCTCTGATACTCATATTAACCCGATACCATTCTCGGCATCAAACCTGCCTAAGGCCAGTTTATAGAAGAATTCCGAGCACTGGCGTGGCTCAGTGGAAGAATACTGGCTGGCCCGAAGCGGAGCCGCAACAATGTTGTTTACGTGATCAGTTGCTTTTTCTTTCGACACTGGTTACGAACACCGGTGGTGGCTGCGGCGGCGGCGGCGGACAACTATGGCATAGTGCGTGACCCGTGTTCTGATCTCACAGCAGCTTTCACTGTAAAATGGAACATAATGTGCTACGGCAATAAGTTTCTGGCGCCTACGGATAAGATCTGTATTGCTCTTATTACTTTATTCACTTCACACTTTTCGATAATAACTAGTATGTTCAATATAAGGTATATTTTAATTTGTGCACGTGAAGATAACACATCGAATGTTTTCGTCATTATGGATTGATGTCACTTATAGCCCCATCATTTTGTAAGTTGGCTATCATCCCTTTGTTTTTGCTAAAGAAAGGAAACAGCGCCACGTAAAATACCTCTGCGCGGAAACAATACAATTCAACATCCGGTCATATATATCAATACAGATGGAACGCTCACTTACGTTTATGATAGAGTAGGCCCTCCTCCGAAAGCTTGGTGAAAATCGCACTGGGCGCGTCATATCTGCGATGAAAATGACGTACATTGCGAGCAACAGCAGTTTGTACATTGCAGCGTAGCTAATAGCGCATAAGCACGTTCCATGGAACACTGAATATGCCACCTTTTGTATTGGAGGAAGCTAGTATGGTGTGCAGTTTTTTCTGCCAGGTCTTCCAACAGAGCGCAGACAAACAATGCCAGCGTACGTCTGCTGTATCGTCGCAGCTCGCATTGTGTTACATTCATTTCGGGACGCCGAATAAGAGAGCCGTCAACATTACCATAGCGTCTGCCTGAAATGATGACGTCCAAAACTCTTCCCTCTGGAAGCAAATAAAGCAGAGGGAAATATTAGGCACAGAAAGGGGCACAAGCTAACTGATAGTGGCACTGTTTGGAACCAACTTTTTTTGAATAACATCTGCTTGATCACTGCTGGGTCATGTTGTTGCTGTAATACCATGCATCCAGGCTGCAATACTCTGCGTAGTAATAGTTTTTGTAGTGTTCATTTCACTAGCACCAATAGACCCACAGTCAATGGTGGGTTGAAACCCTAGCTGACACTCAATGTTGCCGATCAATCATTCAGGAAACATTGCTCCGTATTGCAGCTGCTGTTTGTGCCATTCAATGCCTGCGTGTCGCTATTGAGCATGCCACTATTGTCTTGTGATTTGGACAATTATATGATCTATTGGATGAGCCGAATATGCAGTTGCCAGCGCGCACTTCTTCCAAAGCTTGCTTTTTTCATGTGCTTTTTTTGCAGCGCAGTAGCACTGGTGTCACTGCCTTTTCAAAACTCAGAACGAGCTGTAGGATAGTGCAAGCTATGACTAATGAGATTCGTAAGATGGCTAGAAATAACAGGGGAATTGCATGCCTCTTTTATCTACTCCCAAAGAAGTTTAGATGTAATATTTTATAGAATATATTATGAACTTTAGAGTTCAGAAGTTGTTTTATGCAAGGAACAAAGAAAGACGAAAAGCATATTCGCTTACTTCCGACTGACGTACGTTTAGTAGTATATTATAAATACATAGCGTAAAATATTAGTAGAACACTTGCATCTGATTACCTCATCAAAATTACACGTGTGCATTATACTTCATTTTTGACCAGATGACATGAAGAAAAAATTTCTTTTAGGGTTGAAGGAAGGGATGACAATGATGTACGTTCATAATTGCCTTGGCTGTTTTTTGAAGCTTCTCTAAACTCACGCGTGAAGTGGTTTTTTTTGTCTCTAATGAACAAAGAAGTTATTTGGCGTATGCATGTGGGAGGTAGTGGCGAGATACTGCACCAGGGTAGCCAATTCTTCTTGGTGAGGGAGTGCGTTCCCGGTGGTGGTTACCGGTGAGGCGCCGCACCCCAGGCCTCGTAATGCAGTTCCATCACCACGCGGATTTTTGTTTATCCGTTTGGGAACTGCGTGGCACCGAGATTTGAACCGCGGACCTTTTGCATGCGAGGCGGATGCTCTAACCACTACGTCATTGCTGCTTTATGCAAAGGTACGGAAGAAGCAGGCTGGAGACCAGGCAGTAGGAGATTATGGCATTGGTACTAGAAACGCCAGAGGAGAGCTACTAGTAGAATTCGCAGAACGCAATATTTACAAATTTTGAATACCTTCTACCGAAAACGAGGAAACCGCATGTGGACATGGAGGAGCCCTAATGGCGAAAATAAGAATGAAATAGACTTTATAATGAGTGCACACCCAGGCATTGTGCAGGACGTTGAAGTGGTTGGCAAAGTACGATGCAGTGACCATAGAAATATACGGTCTCGAATTCACCTAGACTTGAGAAAGGAACGACAGAAACTGATACGCAAGAAGCCAAATAATGAGCTAGCACTGAGAGGGAAATTACAGGAATTCAGAATCTCGCTTCAGAACAGGTACTCGGCTCTCAGTGAGAAAACCAACCTCAGCATAGATACAATGACTGATAATCTGACGAGTATCATTACGGAGTGTGCAGTGCAAGTTGGAGGCAGAGTAGTCAGACAGGACACTGGTAAGCTTTCTCAGCAAACGAAGAATCTCATTAAGAAGCGTCAAATCGTGAAAGTCTCAAGTACAACAGACAAAATAGAACTGGCCGAGCTTTAGAAGTTGATTATTAGGCGTAAAGTATCCGACGTAAGAAGGTATAACATGGAGAGAATTGAACAACCTCTGAAAAATGAAGGAAGCGTCAAAGCAGTGAAGAGAAAACTTGGGATAGACAAAAATCGGATGTATGCACTAAGGGAAGGAAGGAAGGAAGCAACAAAAAGGGAGAAGGCAGGGAGGTTAACCAGAAAGACATCCGGTTGGCTACCCTACACTGGGGGATTAAGGAAGGGGACAAGAAAGACGAGAAAGAGGGAAGAGAGGGAAAAAAGGGGGTGGGGGAGAGACTGACAGTAATTTCACTGCAGCTTGTAGAAATCTACCGCATGTCAGAGGCGTTCACACAAGCCTGTCTTTCTCAGGAAACGCAGCAGGGCTTTCACTGCCTTGTGGGCTGTCGAGGCATGTGTACGTTGCTGTAATAGCACCTGCACAGAAAGAGGCCGATCATCCAGTCGCCGCATTGCGTTGGCAAGTACTTGTCTCTCTGAGGCAAATCGAGGACAATGACACAGCAGGTGTTCGATATTTTCGTCGGTGCCGCAAACATCGCACGCCGCACTGTCAGTAATTCTGATTAACGTGGTATAAGCTTTCGTGAAAGCAACTCCCAGCCAAAGGCGATAGAGAAGCGAAGCTTCACGTCGATGTAGGCCGGGTGGAGGCCGGAGTTGTAGTGATGGGTCGAGCTCGTGCAGTCGTGTACGTCGTATGCTTGGTGTGTTCCACTCGGTCAGTGTGAGACTGCGGGCCAGTTGACGAATCTGCCTCGCCGCATCCGCTCTTGAAAGCGGTATCGGAACACTGTTCCCTTCTTTATGTGACGTGCGAGCAGCATGATCTGCAGAATCATTGCCGCCTATACCACTATGCCCAGGTAACCACTGAAAGACGATGTCATGGCCTTTTTGTATTAACAGGTGGTGTAGTTTCACGGTTTGGTAGGTCAACTGGTCGTGGCATCCGCGTCGGAAAACTGATATCAGGCACTGTAACGCTGGTTTTGAGTCAGAAAACACAGCCCATTTACCTGGTATTTCTTCTGAATTGATGTGTTCCAGTGCATTGCGCAGAGCCTCAAGTTCTGCCGTCGTCGAACTCGTCACATGTGAAGTCTTAAAACACCGAGTTATCCCTTGTGATGGTATAACCACTGCTCCACCTGAACTAGACGGCGTAGTAGAGCCATCCGTGTAAATGTGCACGTGGTTACTGTAGTTTCTTCCAGTAGGGATAGACTCAGTTGTTTCAGGGCATGTGTCAGTAAGTCGGATTTTCTCCTCATTCCTGGAATCATTAGGTGAACTCGCAGGCCGGCTCAAGCTCCAAGGAGGAAGCAGTGGCTTTGATGCAGGTGCGTATGTCTCAGCAAACGATGAACGATGCTTGGAGACAATAGTGCCGTATGTCGTGCGGGGCCTTTCAGCAGCTAGACTCGCCAGGTGGTGAGAAGGGGTCCTGGCATAATGCCTGAGGTGCATGCCCATTGTCTCGGTAATAATATGCGTATTTATCGAGTGATCTTGAGCGATGGCAATGGTTTCAGCCGTTGAAGCACTGCGGGGTATTCCAAGGCATATCTTAAGCGCTTGGGCTTGAATGCTCTGAATTGCGCGCAGGTTGGTCTTGCCGGTGTTAGACATTGCAGGTAAGCTGTACCGTAAGAATCCGATAAAGAGCACCCTGTACAGTTGTAGCATGGATGATATGGGCACTCCCCAATTTTTTCCTGCAAGGAATTTGAGCATGTGGCATGTTGCAATCAGCCGCTTCTTCACATAGTTCACGTGTGGAGTCCACGACAGGTTTCTATCTATTATGACTCCCAAGAACCTGTGGCTTCTGCTGAATGATATGTATTCTTCATTAATCGATATACTGTAGCAGACATTGGTTCCCGCGTGAACGCTACCACTGCACACTTTCCGCAGGACACCTCGAGGCCTTGTTTACGAAGATAGCATGACGCCGTTGTAGCAGCCTTCTGAAGGCGGGCGCGAAGCTGAGGCCTTGTCACACCTGATGTCCAAATGCAGATGTCATCAGCATAGGCAGAAAGTTCTACAGTGCTAGGTAGCTGCTCGACTAGACCAATGAGAGTTAGGTTGAAAAGGGTAGGGCTTAGCACTCCTCCCTGAGGAACTCCTCGGCTGCTGTAATAATCAGGTGTTGGGCCATTCGCTGTCATCACGTAAAATGATCTCAGCTGTAAGTAGCTGTACACCCACATATATATCTTGCCACCAAGACCTACTGTTTCCAAAGCACTAAGGATGGCTTCATGGGTGAAATTGTCGTAAGCCCCCTTAACGTCTAGAAACAGGGCGGCGCACAGTCTCTTACAGGCTTTCTGGTGTTGAACATATGTCACCAGATCAACAACGTTGTCGATTGACGAATGGCCGCGCCTGAATCCGGTCATGGATACTGGATAGATTTCGTAGTGCTCTAAATACCACTCCATTTGTGTTAGAATCATTCGTTCCATCGTTTTTCCCACACAATTGGCAAGTGCAACTGGCAACTGGCATGCACTAAGGGACAAAGAAGACAAAATAACTACCAATATGGATAGGATAGTTAAAATAACGGAGGAGTTCTACAGAGATCTGTACAGTAGCACGGACAGCCACGACTTTAATACTATAAGAACTAGCAGTAACCCAGATGACACCCCACCAGTAATGATGAAAGAAGTCGGAAAAGCTTTGGAGAGCATGCAAAGAGGCAAACCTGCTGGTGAGGATCAGGTAACATCAGATCTGCTAAAAGATGGAGGACAGATTGTGTCAGAAAAACTAGCCAAACTGTTTACGAGGTGTCTCCTGATAGGAAGAGTACCAGAGTCTTGGAAGAACGCTATCATCATCCTAATACATAAGAAAGGAGATGACAAGGACTTGAAGAACTACAGGCCGATTAGCTTGCTCTCTGTAGTATACAAGCTATTTACAAAGCTAATTGCTAACAGAGTAAAAAAAAACATTAGAATTCAATCGACGAAAGGAACAAGCGGGATTTGGAACAGGCTACTCAACAATCGACCACATTCATACTACTAATCAGGTAATAGAAAAATGCTCAGAATATAACCAACCACTATACATAGCCTTCATAGATTACGAGAAGGCATT